AAAAAAAAGCAATTCAATTCTTTGCAGAGGTGACATTTAGGAATACATCTTTGTGAAATGTATTATGTGCAAGTAATGTTCAGCCTTCCTTTTTTGCTTCCCCCAACTTTGTTAAAAGTAACTGACAAATGAAAAATCTTTTTTTAAAAGCATTTGTATTTAAAGACATATTCGTTATATTTTTCAGGTTATAATGCAAAACTGATTCCCTTAACATAATTGGAAAGAACACGAGCCCCCTTTATTAAACTACATTACAATCAGATGTTGCTGACAAATAAAATATTATCGGTCCACTAGGACAAATTAATTACTACAAACAAATGTATCAGTTAAAATTAGTTATTGTTATTAATTGTTGACATGGTTCAGATTCTATAAACAACGATTCCTTGTGAAACACTATTGTGTAGTATATAATTTGACAACAGTTTTCTGGGGTGGCAAAATTAGCCCAGTATCTATTTTCATATTACAAATTTCCAATATAATAAATCACCAGTACAAGAATACAAGTTAAATTCCAGAAGGCGATGATTGTATACAGTCCAATGGATTCATTTCCCTGGGTACAAAATTTAAGCAAATTTCTTTCCTTGTCTTTAATACACACAAAAAAAAAAATGGAATACATGTAGGTTAAAATGTAACAGATGCAGTAAACTTGCTGAGATTGTGTAGATACTTAGGAACTAATTAGAACTTGCGAACACCTGGTGTATCAGCATTTCTCAACAGACCCAATTATTTGAATTATTACAATTAACCAGCCTAAAAATAGCTGTGGAGCTACACCAACAACCAGTTTTAAAGCCCACTGAAATCAGTAGAAGTCTCCCCTTGATGCCTTATGGGCCCTAGTTGAAATACTCAGTTAGGCCACATTTAGGAAACAGAACTCAGCTAATGACTCCGATAGACTGAAATATATGGATGTCTTGCTGGCCACTGCAGCAGTTTGGCCCTTCCAAATACCATGGCTATTTTGCACAGAAGAGGCTTGGGGCAGGAATCGACATGAGGTGGTTTATACCCATGCATATTTTAGTACTCTGAAAGCTATAGCTCGTAAATATGAGGCACCACAGTCTCATTTGAAGTTAGGAAGACTGCCTCAGAGTTGCAAAGACCCTGCCTTTCCTATTACATTGGGAAGCAATCATTTTAGGCTGCATTAACCGAGCTAGACTTCAACTCAAGACCTGTCCCAAGCTTTGCAAGAAGTGAAATGAAGTACTCATGATACTAAAAAGTGCTCAGCAATCATCAACCATTTCTTGGAGAACAATAGAACCTAGGGGTTTCTGAGGAATATTTAAAACTTAGCAATTTCACTTAGTTACACAGCTGGGACTCAGAACTGAAAATCTGGATGTACTGTGTCAGCAACAGCATTCTATGCTACTGGTACATTCTTTTGCATCTCATTGTATTGCACAGTAGCCTAGATTTCTGGATGCACAAAGCTGGCATGCATCCCAATAAACTATATTAAATGTTAGTAGACATTCCTCTTAATGACAGTATTCCCTCTCAACTCTATTCAGAATCTGTCCAGTATTGCCAGTAGCACTAACATTAGTTAGTACTAGCAACAGCTTGGGGAATATGTATGTATAATGGGACAGAACAGACAATCTGAAAAACAAGGTTATCAAACTTTAACAATCTAATCCCATTGAGGCAGTAGAGTCGCTGACTTTTAACAACTCTCTGCCAACAATCCAACCCAGGGGATTGGAGACTGGAACATCTCTGGAAAAGTTTATATTATCTTGAATTTAAATCGATATGTTTTCTAGTAGGGAGTGAGACAGTAAGACTCTGCAAAGAGAAACGGGACATGAGAGGACCTGTCCCTCTCTCCCATCCAGAAAGACATGAGCTAGACCTCTATAAAAGGAGTGGCAAGAACTCTGAGTTCTGAATGCATTTTGGGTATTTCTTATTTTATATAAATTAACAAGTCTTTTCCCCAACCATAAGTTAAGCATGTGTAAGTTTAAAAAAGTCTGCATGTAAAGCTTGTGTGTTCCTTATCTGAAGTGTTACAAGGTACCTAAATAACACATATGTGTCCCCAGGGGGGTGGTCTTGGGGGTGGACCTGCTACTGGGGAGACTTCAGGGATTTTAGCACTGGGTCCCATATCTCACACAGAAGTTTCCAAGGAAAAAGGAGTCTCACCTCAAGAGTTTTAAGAGGCCGCAGCAAGATCCAATGCCTAAGTGTTTGCTAGTAATTGTCCCCTAGGAAGACTTACCCCAGGCTATAACATTAATATAGGCAAACTGAAGGTTAGACTTTAAATTACACAAAGTCTGATGGAAAAACATTAAAAATGTACTTGAACAATTTCACCGTAATCAACTGAAGCTGTAAGTGTACAATACAATAATATAACCCTGCCCTACACATATATTATAGGTGGGCCTAGTAATACCATCTAATAAGAAGGAAGCCCAAACACTTAGCTTTAGCAGAACCTGTTTTTGGTTTCTTACAGCTTTGTCAGACTTTCACTGCTTGGGCTGAAATTGCTTAGTTTATACCTCAGGCTAGTTTTACAAAAATTTCAACCAAAAGATTGCATACACATGGAGCATGCTTCACACCAATCCTGCGTAGCAATTGTAGTTCAGATGTGATGCAGTTCATATCAGGTCCAGGCACCTGAACCTAGAGCAGGGAGTCTATTTCTCCTTTCTTCTCAGTGATTCCTCTACTGATGTCAGATAGTGTGGAGGAGGAAGGTTCCTAATTGAAATGCAGAACTGGAGCTGGAGCTGGAGCTAGAAGGAGGAGATTAGTTTGGGCCAAGGAGCTTAAGGATGACAGAACCTGGGACTACAGAATGACAGGTAAGGAGAAAAACTGGGAGGGAGAAGAGGAAAGGAACTGATTAGTCATAGATACTGGGACTAAGGGCCAAAAAGGGAAATAAGACAGACAGTGGTGGGAGGAGAGGGGGGAAAAATTCTGGAGTAATAAGATACCTAGTCCTCTACACTCACTGGAGAGGAAGAGAGAGTAATATAAAGGAGAAATTAATAAAGGCTCCCCTCCAGCAGAGCCACATTACAACGCTTGCTGGAGCTTTCTCACACTAAGAAACTGAAACTGGGTGAAGAGCTGAGAGTAGGGAGGAAGAATTGGACTCGGTGGGCAGGACACTGGAGCTAAGAACCACTGGCGTAGAGGAAGAGAAAGAGGAGAGGGGAAGCAGACCAGTGAGGAACTGGGATGTGAGGGAAGAATGGGGTTTGGCTGGGCAAGGTCACTGTGATAGTAAGGTAGTGGAGAGGACACTAGGATTATATGAGGAGTCTGGGGAAAGAAACTGAGTGTGAAGTTGAGCTGGGCATAGGAAGTCAGTCTGAGCGGATCGTGCTAGATCAGGGGTTTATTGAAGTGGAAGCTGAAATCAAAGCCAGGTGTCAGTCCAGGTTCAGGACAGCAAGATGAGGGTTGGGACAAGGTGGTGGTGAGGGCAAGCAGCTGATCCAGGCTGAGAGTCCAACACAGGAACAGGAGCAAGTAGAAACAGGAAGGAGGGGTCCAAAAGCATACGGAGCATGCTCTGAACCTCTGAAGTCACGTTTAGGAATTTGAAGCAGGCCAGAGGCACAACACAGTTACCTATTGCCAAACAGCTTGCTACTGTTTGACATGAGCGTATATAGCCAGTGTGGGCAGGTGCCCCTTCCTAATGGAGGACTCAGCCTGATTCCCTGATTTCTTAAAGCTGGGGCCCGGGACTGAATCTACCCCAGCTGGACCTTGGCTCATTACGCTGACACTTGGAGCCAAAAAGAACCGGGAATATGGTGAGAAACTGGAAACTACTACAGGGACAGAGACAGATGAGATGAGGAGTAGGGGAGGGGAGGAACCAAGGGCAAGAACCTGGGATGGAAACTAGGATGCAGAGTCCAGCAGGACAAGAGTAAAGCAGAGGAACAGAAACTGTAGCTAGGTCAGGAGAGTGGGACTGGAATAAGGAACCAGATGTGGGGAAGGAAAGGGCCTGAAACAGAGACAGTTTTGAGGGAACAGGGCACAAGGAGTCTGGGGGCCACATGGGTAGAAAAACCTGTGCCCTCTTGAACACGCTTCCTTCAAGTCTTCCACAGAAGACCAGAAGCCAAGTCTTCTTTCTTCTGTTGTCAACACATCTCTGAGACCCACTTGGAAAACTTCCCATCCACCTCTACTGCTGATCCATGTAGAGCAGTAGTGTTCAGTCTCTGCCGGGTGGGCCAAGTTCAGCCGGAAGGGCTCCCCCCAGGTCAGGAAATTCGGCGGCAGAGGAGCGGTGGCAATTAATGCTGCTGCCTCTCCCCCACTAACAAATTTTGCAGCCAGATGATGTTGCTCCTGTGTCATATAGAACCAGAATGCAGAGCCGGGGCAGGGAATAGGCCCAATCTAGTGCATGCAGGGCCAGGGTGGCAGACCTGATATGCTGTGTGGGAAGGAAGCCATGTGCCAGATCACACCCACGCACCAAGTGGCAGGAGTCTGTACAGTAAATATAAAGGTTCCAACCTTGCTGATGGCCTATGTCAGTGTCAATAAGGTGCTGAATGATATCACTTTGAGAGAGGGCACCAGTCTGCTTTTTTAAAAACCTAGAAAACCTCACACACAATCTATGCTCAAAGAACACTTCTAAGGTAGCAAAGTCAGTCACTCCAAAGTTAGGAAATACACAATGGTTTTCATGTGCAACTTTAGCGTGGCTTCCTTGTGCACATAATAATCTCTTCTACAACAGCTTTAATTCTTGGATCACATCTTGTTTTTTGCCCAGAAAGCCTCTGCTTCACTCAGTGCACAGGACGGAGCTGCTCTTGGGACAAAAGATGTCATTGTCTAGATGACCGCTACTCATTTCAGAAGTTTATCTGGTCCCAGAACTTAGGCAGTTGAATACTGCCTTGGAGATTTGTAGTCTACCATTGCCTCTGCCACAGAGTTCCTATGTGATACTAGTGAAGCCACTTAAACTATTTACAGTTGGTCACTTATTATGTGCTCTTCATTTTCTGGGTGCCTGACTTCAGACCTTGGGGTCTGATTTGCAGCTGTACTAAACAACTGGAGCTTTATGCTATATATTACCAAGTACTCCAGAAATCAGGTCCTGTGTATCTTGAATTGATTCCCCAAATTAGTGGATACTTTTACTCTTCATTTCTTTGCGCCTAGGTTCCCCAACTGTAAAATAAGCATAGTACACGCCTCACTATGCCGTGAAAATAAATGCATTAATATTTATGAAGCATTCAGATAAGGCACTGGTAAATACACAGAAGAGAAAATACACACTAAATGGCTGCTTAGTAAGCAAACACTATACCTTCTTTCATTGCTTGAGGGTGGTGTCCTGTACAAAGAGCATGTGATCGTCAAAATACAAACTGTATCATAATACACACACTTGAGTAGGCTGAATTTATATTGAAATCAACTTTAATTTTGGTGTCTCCTAACTTTTGATTGCTTGACTTTGCAACCTTAATAATATTTTTTTACTATAGGTTTGTCTGTGTGTGTGTATGTGTGACATTACAATTTTTTACAAGGTGCACAAACACAATGATTCTAGGGGGGGAATTATTTTAAGCTGTTTACATATGGGTTTTAGTATATGTCAACAAAGCACAAAGCTTCTAAAACAAACAGTATTGCAGCACTGCTAAACTGTAGAGTTAAGGCTACCAACTCGGACACCAGGCACCTTGACAACAGATGAAATATAAAACCGCAGCATATTAAATAGACAAGTTAGCTAGAATTATAAATGCATCAAAAGTTCTTAGGTTGAAATGTTTTGTGAATCTCATTTGAACTATGAAATATTTTTATAGCTTCCAGGCTAAGTTCTCATCTTAAATACTTTGTCATGTCATGAAGTTAATGCAAGCATATACCAGTGTTTGAAGATCAGATAACCAGATTTTGTTTTAGTTTATATTTGTTTAATGAAGGAAACAGAAGTAATTCCACCGAAATCAGTAAACCTGCAACACTGTAAAATTGGGAAAACTGGAAGGGGAATAAAGACCATATCCTTTTATCTTTAGAAACTGATTAACAATAGAGGACCAAGTCATCAAAATTTATGTATTAAACTACTTGTAAAAAATTGCTCAGAGGAATCATTTATACTGGAAATCCTAATATAACAATGAAATTCAAAATCATGTTATTCTGGTTAAATCACACAATGGTTAAAACTAAGGAAAAACCTCAGAGCATAATCACTCTTAAAAAAAGGCCATTCAGGGATATTTTGCATGCCTTTTGTTTTTATTAACTCCACGATCTCTAGCAATTGATCCCAGCGATAACACTGTACTGGTTAATTTTTATATTCCCCAGATCTTGCAAAAGTAGAGCTAACATTATTATTTCTAAGCCTATAAAGTAAATTGCCTCAGGCCCTAGGTCATTGTTTAAAACAATATCCTTGAAACTGAAGCTTACCTGTGTCTCACGTTCTGGTCCCACTTGAATAAAATTATTGCTGAAATAAGGAAGAATAATTTCTATTTAGTCACTGCTTCTTGGCTTACCGGCTTTCTAGGCATACTGCCAAGCGTTTCCCTCACGTTCAAGAAAATTAAATTTCAAGGCTGTTCTCTTTTACATTCTTAATTTCCTTGAACTTGGGATAAATCTCCAAGACAGGCAAATCCAGTTTGGTGCATTCATAATTTAAAACAACATTTTTTTTGGAGCTTAGCAGCTAAGCAGCCATGGAAAGGCTCTAATGGCAAACTGAAATTAATGTCTATAACTAGCTTTGAAAGGAAGTGAAAAATGTCTGACAAATAAAGTTGGTTCTTCCATTGGGGTGGAACAAATATTCCTTCAATAGACTGCTATAGCTATATTTTCCTCTTAATTTAATCAAATAGTCCCTCCAGATCAAGGATCCAATACAGTGGCTCTAAATAGAGCATCTAGGAATTTTCTAGCAATGAGCAATAAAGCAGAAGCAGGAATACTTCACTGAATAGTCTGGCCACCACAACAGGACTGAATGTGATGTTCAAATGTGTCATCAGGGCATGATTCTGCAAGCTCTTTGGTTTCACTGAGTGTTTCATGCACAAGACACTTGTAGAATCCAGGCATTGATGAGCAATGTGCAATTAGTACCTCACTTAAACTTCTGACCAGGAATCAACTGGGCACAAACTACTTACTGTATTTGAGTTTTAAAAAGGAGCAGAATTTCCCAGAAACAGATGTGATTTGTATCAAGCTTAAAAGCATCCCATTTGTTGGCTTTTACTGATATGACAAGAGGCTCTTCTTTGATCAGAAACAATCAGAAGCTTACTATGGAACACGTGAGCATCTATAAGTGAAAAATATGTTCTATTACAAACAATGAATTCATATCAAAATGTCAATAAAATGGCAAGACAGAAAATACTGGAAAAAACTTTTAAAGAATGCACAGGTGTTAAACATAACGTCTCATGATTAACATACTAACCCCATTTTGGAACATTATTTCACATTACAGGCTTCCTGGATATAATCAACTAAAGCATAAAGTATGTTGTGGGTCACAGTGAATAGGCAGGATGAGAACTGGCACCATCAGAATGGCAGCATGAGAGTCTCCAGTAAGACTTCAGTGTGTCAGCAATGTTACCTAACAGCAATTATATATGGAAGAAAAGTTAATTCCACACCTTTTCAGTCCCTGTCAATAGTGATACTTATTATTCATAATTGTGTAGCTTTTGACTGTATGGTCCACAGAAAAATGGACTCAGATAATGAGTGCAATTTGTATAATCCCAATAGATCAGTGACTCTCAGCCAGGGTTCCCTGGAACCGTGGGGTACCTCCTTTTAAGGATGCTGTGGGGTGCCATGCAGTATTAGCACTGTTAAGTGTGTACACAGGGTAAACTCAGAGATTTCACATAAGAATCCATACTGTCAAACCCTTTCTGGAACCTGCTCTGGTCTTCCTGAATTCTTTGCAAGAGAAGAATTGTTCTAGTATTTTTTTGTAGTCAAAAAATGAGTGAAACTAAGAACTGGCATTTTCTTGGGGGTACATTTAGTCTGACAGGGTGGCCCTTGGAGTGTGAAAAGGTTGGGAATCACTGCATCAGACTGAAAAATGTCAGCTTCCCAAGTGAAATATGAATCAATTATCTGGAACTGAAAGCCTCTGTATCTCAATCCCTTAAGCTTTTCAGTCTTTACACTACAGTATTGCCATATCTTCAGTGCAGATTCAGTTTGATTTTAATTTTGTAAGTTTGTTAAGAAAGAGCTATTTTTCATGACAGGTTAATATCACTCATTTATCAATAAAAGAAACAACCCTGTTAACTGGGCTTTCCCATTTTCTATAAAACAGTGCAACTTTAACTGAATTGAGTGTGTTTCTCCATATTTAGGACAAAATCCTTTATTTTTGTCAATGACAAACTCCACAGAATTAATGGACCTGTACCAATTTAAATCACTAGGAGCTGGACCATAATTTTTAAATGTTGGGGTTTGTATTACTGTTGCAGACTCTTAAGAATCTGCACATCTTTCTCACACAGCAAATACCTCTAAGTTTTACAAACAGAACATAGTTTCCTGTATAGAATAATAGGGGTATGTGGCTTATGTTTCCTCAGTATTTCTGCATGTCTGTGAGTATGTCTGTACTGCTACATAAGCCTACTCCTTAGCCTTAACCTACATTACAAACCTCTAGCTCTCCCCCTGGCACCAGGTCAACTCTGCCTGGGAAACTGCTGAGTTATCAAGGTAAACTTCACCCTACCTGGCCACTTTCCTCCTTTACACATCTCTCACCATGCATATATAGCCCAAGCACAGCAGGGCCCAACACTAACCCTTCTGCACCTCATTTTCCATCTACACTGCCCATAGACAGGTAGTGGGCATGATTCATAGAAAGGCTCAGTTTGATGTTCCTGTTCACCTAGGAATCAGGCTGTTCCCAGTTGCTCTCACCTTCTGCACTTCCCGTACACTGCTGCAGCAAGGTCATGTAGTAGGGGTAGAGTGGCTCAGGTACCTCAAGGAAGCTGAGGATGAGCTTTCAAATCCTAAAATAAGGGCGTAGATGTACCTGTTTTTGCCTGCTCAAAATCATAAATAATCAGAAGAAATGGGAAAGAAAGGTAAACAACTACAGGTCTGCAAAAACAATATATGCAGAGAATTAGGAAGTATCCTTTCTTCCTCCTTTATAACTATTCTGCAGTCTACAAGGTTAGCTAAAAACACAATTCAAACCTAGAATTGAAAAGAGGAACATTTAACTGGAGACAGACTTTTGCAAAAAAAAAACCCCAAAAATCAAACCACCTTCTCACATGGTTCAGATATCAAGGGAACAGTGCTGGATAAAGCCTTGGATGACCTCCATACTGCTGCTTTATATATTCTGCTATGTGCATGATACCAGTGTGAGGCACTGAAGGCACTCTAACTGCCTTGAACATGAATTCTTACTTGTGTAAAGCAAGCCCGATTGCACATAGCAGTTCAGATAATCTTTGCAACAAGACTGAATCCCCCTTAGACTGCTTCTCACATGGTATCAAGACAGGAAGATCTGTCAGAAAAACGCCCAAAAAAGCCTTAATAGTTTTGAAACAATAACTAATGTACACTTTGTTTTCGATGTCCAATTGTAGCAGCACCGTAGGAATCTGGCAGGTTAGGAAAGAACATAAGATCAAGAAGAAAATCTAAAGCCATCTTCAGTAAAAAAAAAAAAAATTGATGGGGAACTTAAAATGAGTTTGTCTTTATCAAAGACACTTAAAGAGAGGTCATAAACAGAGAATTTTAATCTCACCATTTTGGTCAAGGCACCAACTATGGAACTATGACATATAAAACAACATCAAAGAGTTATTTAAATGACAGGATAAAATCAAATATTCTGATGTTTTTGTTGAAATATTACTGTTCATTATACAGAGTCTAACTCATATAAGGACAGGCAGCCCCTGCCCCCAGATATGCTGACTGTCTTACACTTGCACTGAAACCAATAGGAACTGAAAACACCCTGTAGCTTGTAGAAACATGCCCATAATGCAGAGCTCTAGTGCTAGCGGGCAAAAAATAATGGAACCTTTCATTAAAAATTGAGATTAAACAAAAGTGGCTTTGTATTGATTCTCAGCACCCTTGTTTTTCTCACTCTTGACAGTAATCAGAGACGGGAGATCTGATGTCCTATAAACTCCTGTCCGCATCCTCCCCTGGCAAGACCTCAGTTCAGAGATGTAGCCTTCGAAGCTGAGGTTCCCTTCTGAATCATCACAAGATTGTGTGAAGTTGTCTTCCAGTTTAACTCCATCCACGTCAATTACTCTGTTTACAGGAAGTTCAGCAGTGTGATTATCCCTAGCACTGGGGGGTTTGAGGCTTCTATTGGTCTTTGCTTTGTGAGAGCTTTGTTCACAGACATTTCCAGCAGTCGCTAGTGAATCTTTTTTCTTTCTGTGGTTCACACCTAACAGAAAGAAGGAAAAAAAATAAATTACTTAAAATATACAACAAAAGTTTAAACTGCACAGGGCACGCTTCTCCCCTCTGGTCCTCATAGCAAGGGGTCAGCTGAGGTCTTCTCGTCTCCCAGAGGGAAATTCATGAATATGCCAATTAGGACAGAAAAATATCAAAGTTTAGTGCTACTTCTTACATAGATCTCAGAGGTTAAATCTGTCTTAATTTAATTTTCATCCTTCTTAAAATATTTAATCGACATTATCCAGAATACACAAAAATAAGCACATAGTAATTGGTACCATAATAAAATATGGCTTTCCTGTATCAATCTCTTCTCACTACCCTAGAATTCTCATACCAGGAGGGACAGACCCAAGGTAAAAGAATATAGTTTCCAGGGTCCGCCAGTGAGAGGAAGTAATGAGAAAAATGAGAGAACATTTCTTCATTTTACTAACTGTATATCTCCGAGATATTATTTTTCTGCAACTAGAGATTCATCTTTCTCCAGAAGATATAGAAAAGCTGGTTTAAAATTGCAGTTCACCCTATTGAGTTGAGAGCTGGTGATTGCAGACTGAAGGATGGGGAAACACAGTGTAGCTGGTTGAAGGAGAGGGAATGATTGATGCACTGATACATGACCTCAGCAGTCAAGGTGCTACTGCAGAATGGCAACCACAGAGGAACTGTTAGGACCTGAGCCCATTTCCTAGCACTTACAATATGAGCTTATTACAATAACCCTGGTGTGCTTATACCCTAACCCTTAGCCACTCCAACTCCTGTGTCTGTCATACATGGTTTAGAGTGAAAAAAGAACAAACTTGTTCAGTTTCCAAAGGCTTGAATAAACTAGATGTGTCATTTAGAAAACATATAACATGCTTTAACTACATGTAATAAATGTGCAAGAGGCAAAGATTTTTGTGGGCAATATTTTGCATTAAACCAACTGCATAGTTGAGATAGCCTCAACTTCGCAAGCTTTTCAATTCAAAAGCTTATCTATCCCATCCATGGAGTTGGTCCACCTGCAAAAGTCCATGCCTCTAGCATATTTCCTGTACCGTCACAGATATATCACTCCAACACTATGTAATAAACATTATTTTGCCAACAGTGAGGAAAAGAATAGTTCTGTTTAACAATGCAATAACTGGTCATGGTTAGTCCTACACTGCGGCTATAAATATAACCGCAGCTAGTTTAAGACACAGCTGATCCCATTCTCCCTAAACTGTTATGCAGTTAAGGGAGATGCCATTCACTACATTAGGCAAAGAGAAAGAGAAGTTCTCCTTACACTTTTAGCAACAGAGAACTATGTTTCCTAGTACTCAATATTGGCTTAAGCACCTGGGACTGTCATGTTTAATATCACATCAGTTAACACTATACATTTTCTACCATAAGAAATTGTATTTTACATTTTTTTCTGTATTTTCCCTAGGAGGTATGCAAGTAAATCCCCTAGCTGATTTGGAAAGCTCAACTCCTGTCTTTGTATATGTTCTGTAACACCATTGTATGCATCTGGGTATTTAAGAATCATAATTGTTAATAAATAATAATAATAAAAGACTCTTAGATATGGAGGAGTGAAAAATTTCCTTGAATTCAAATTAAAAGAAAGACACAAATCAAGCTTTACACCCCTGCAGTGTAGGGGTGTAAAGCTGCTCAGAGGACCTCTCTACGGATGAAGGTTTTTACATAATGAAATTAATTACAATTTTATGTAATCCAATAATGTTTTACTACTTTACATAAAATAGAAGGATATTAAGGCCCCACGTCAATAATATTAGCTCTTTTTGCTTCCAAGGGAATTGGATCAAATTCCTCATAAACCAGTTGAATAATGGCAGACGGAAAAGGCAGGAAGTTTTTATGGGTCTATCAGCCCAGTAGGAGCTCAGTCAGACTATTAAATTACAGCTAACCTTTAATGAAACTATATCAGATATGTTATCATTGTGCTTACAAGGTAACATATCAAACAAAATATCAGCTTAATTTTAACTACCATTTGTGAAGCCTGGGTATATTAAATTCTGTATTTCTATTTTATTTATATTAAAATAATATTTCGCAAACATTTTTCAAGTTTGTCATATGCTGATAGAGTGAAATCTTTCTCCTGCTTCTCTTTATTCTATTCATATTCACTACTTTTAGACAGATCACGGATCTGTGGCAGATGAACTTGTGTGAATTGTGACAGCTTTTCTGATTTCAAGACAGCTGCAATAATTTCCATACATCGGAGATCTGGACTCCACCAAAAAAACCAAAAGAACAACAAAATAAATCAGTGGGAGCACTTTGAGAACTGACGATGAAACACATTACTTACTAGTACATATATGGATAATAAGACCATCAAGAATTCTTCCTAAATCAATCTCCAGTTGAAGATGTTATAGGAAGAATCTTCTTACATAGGTAGGTTATGTCATAATTGTCTTCTTCAGGCACAACCCCTCTGAAGCTTCTAGCACTGGTTACCCCTGAAATTAGGAGACTAATCTAGAAGGACATGATTTAGCATAGTAATTCCTGGATTCAACTGCAATCAATTGTATGGGATAACTCATTTTTTACTGGAAAGGGAGGAGGAATTAATATGCTACAACGAACAAATAAAAGCATGATTTTAACACCAGTATTTGCACAATGGGATAAAACACATTTAAATATATATAAACCCCCAATCTGTATTTTCTTGCATACCACATGCCTCCAAACAAGACACATATCTTGTTTTTAGGAAGGTACAATATAGGAAAAAGGATTGTTCCAGAATCATTGCAGAGAGGGCTGACTGCCTGAAGCAGTTCACCTGATGTTCGTCCAGCTCACTGGCTCTTCAGGCCAAAGCTAGTGTTAACCCTCTAGAGCACAACTGACAAACTGGTAACAATTCTGGCTGCTCAGCCAAAAGCTTCTGCCAATTCAGCAGAAGCTGCAAGCTGGTTAACACTGAATTCTGCCCCTACTGCTTGCTGTCCCAGAGAGAAGTGACCACCATTTTGGTATACATTATAGCAGGGGTGTCCAACCTTTTTGAATATGGGGCCAGATCATGAACTGTTTATTGCCCAGTAGGCCAGCAAGCCATATTCAAAGACCCCACAGGAAGCGGTATCACATCACACCCCTGAAACGAAAGTACAGTGTTTACTTTCGTTTTCCATCGCAGCACCTTGGGCCTCAGAACAGCTTGGAGGGCCACATGGTGGCCTGCAGACCATATGTTGGACAAGCCTGCATTATAGCATGGTTTTCCCCTTGCTGCGCTTCCAGGAAAAAAAGAAAAATCAGCTCCCCTGCTCAAGACAGCCCAATTTTGGAGGACTGACTTGGAAGAAGAGGTGCATGTGGTATATGAGTAAATATAGTAGTGACAAAGGCAGCATTAGTCATCAAGTAATCTGGAAGAGAACTCCAATAGAAATTGGTTTAAAACACTGAAAAATTATATCCATGAGGCTTTAAAATATTTAGAAACTGAGTATGGTGATTATAGCCTTCAATTAAGAGTTAAGTGAAGCACTGGCATGTCTTGAATGACCTACACACTATCATGGAATTTACCCACTTCTTCACAGTTTGCAAACAAAAATGATGTACACACGGGTGTCTTTATCTAGCACTCTTCAAGGTTTATTAAGGGCCTTCAAAGTTATATTTTCCTTTTGCCTTTCACTACTGTGGTAAAGTGAAGAGAAACTCCATGGATCTCCTTATGGATTGCTTTAGCATCTGTATAGCAAGTGAGGAATCATATCTTACGTTACTATGGCAAATGTGTCCAATGTTCACTCAAACTTCAGAAGAAAAAAAAAGTTTGCTAGAATAGCTGCATAGATTAATTTCCAGCAGGGCTAGAATGACACAGTCACTTCTACTGGTACTCTTCAGTTTCCCTGCTAAGTTCTCCACAGCTAAGGGAAACTTCTTGTAGCTCTAACAGTTAATTTAAAGAACACATGCTATCTTCATTGATCTTTAATTTGGAGAACTGGCATTTCACAGACTGGCAGACAAATGAATACTTTGCAGCCATGTACACAAATCTTCCTGTTACATCAGGGTTAATGGATAGGCAGTTCTTTGGATAAGCACATCTTCTGCTTTTCTTCTTCACCCTTTCACTTTCTTTTCTATTTGCATTGATGTATTGCTACTGATCTCTTTCTCCCTCACTTTTTCTTTGCTTTTAAAAATCTTAGTGGTAAAATGGTAAGCATTTATGCAGGGGGTGTAGAGCTTCAGTGAACTGCTTGTCTGTTTTGTATGATGTATGCCTTTAACTAACAAATAGATCTAAGCAGGTGTTTGGATTTTCTCAAGCAGTTTCTTTAAGATTGATGAAGTATTTGACCAAATGCAGACACATGAGAAGTAACTGAACATACATTATTTTGGACAATCCTTTAGAAAAGGATCTATCCACCAAACTGCGTTATAGTCCTATATGACGACTTGTAGTCATATATTACGACTCGTAACCCTAATAAGATGCATTAGGGTTTTGTTATCCCTGCCACAATATCCTGCAATTAAATATGGTTAAAAAAAAAAAAAGGCAAAACTGTAAACACTTTGCTGTCTCAAACTCGTGTGTACTGAAACTTTTTTTCCTTGGGTTAAAGACGGAGGACCAAATCTCAGTCAAACTGGAGTAGCTCCATTTACTTTAATGGCCCTGTGCTGATATATGCTAACTGAGAATCTGTTCCAGCATTTCACATAATTCAATCACAACTTCTTCAAGAAAAAGAGAACTTTGTGAGAAAATCCCAAGGAGTAATTATAAATTGTACCATTTACCGGTACTGGAAAGAACCTCTGAGATTGGCTCCAAAATGTGGGCCATTTGCATCACTAAACGCTGGTGATTTAGTTGATGACATTCCTGACTCTCGGTATGTACTGAACCAATGCCACACCCTTGTATTAGGAAGTAGTGTGGCTCTTGGAAAGGTAATTTGAAAGTTCCATATTTACTTGAATACAAAATGAGGCTTTTTTCCTCCAGTCACATTCACATACAAGGAAACCTCATTATCATACTGCTACCAAAGCAGCATATACTCATTAATCTTCTTCTTTTGTACGGCTAGGGCAAGCAATAGCAGAGAAGGTGCAGGTTAATTAACATAGTGCATTGAGGGTTGATAGCCAGTCAATGACATCCGGGAGGGATAAATGGATTGCTTCAGTCCCTCCATGACACAAGTTCAGGGCAGGGGATATCAGGAGTAGACGCAAATACTGAACAATGCTGAGTTGTGGGGCCACTAAAATGCTGCTTCAAAGTGTATTTATGGAGTGCCTATGCTAAAATTTGCAGCAGTTTCAAAAAAGGCAAAATGCATTAATTCTGGATGAACTAACTCTGTGGGTACCTGTAGTCATTTTGTGCATATTAATACAGATATATTTATCTCAAGACCAGTGTTTTCAAACGTGCTTCTCACTTCCATGTGCTCAGGGAGAGCAGGGTCCGACTGTAAGGAGTGGGGGAAAGGGCTGCAGAGGGAAGAAGTTGGGGTGGAGGGAAGAGGACAAGGGGGCTACCTGACCTCTCAGACATATTTTCCCTGCTGTAGCAGTGGGAGTGGAACAAATTCAAGGCAAACCTCCAACACTTAGCTTCTATATCTGGAAAATTATAACAAATTTATACAGTTTTCCTTATTTTTCCTTAATTTAACTTATATTCAGGTTCATTTATATTTGAGTAAACATAGTAGATAAAATTATCCTCATATTGGTCTAGCATATGCATATAGTTTTGTTAAGTCTGCAAAATGCTTTCGAGAAGCTTAGAGGAGTAAAAACACCATATCAATTTAAGATAATTATTTTGAAGGGATTTAATACACAAAAATAGTGTAGACTGCCATATTATTATTATAAACTGATTTCTCACGATGGAGATAAAAGTATTTAATCAACATATTCCTAGCTATGACTTATGTTTCATCTTTCTTAAAGGAAATTGATTACTATATTTTCCTTGTCATATAATTAAACACCAGCTGAGTCATATGCTTCACACCTTGAAATATGATTCCATCAACAAGCCACTGGTTCCATCAGCTAAGGAAGAATTTCTCTTATAAGCAAGTACTACTAAAGATACAAGAATACTGCTATTCTATGTTTTTCTTATACCGAGATATTTTGGAATAAATTTTCAACAATGGTTTTGGAGAAAAAAGGTTCACATAAACATTTAACAATAAAAGTCTCTAAGATGTCCTGGAAAGTTTAGAAATAATAATAATAAAAACATAATTTGGAAGATATGTTTTGAGTGCGACAGAAAAGAAAGAATTCATACTGCTACTAGCTTACTGCTCACTAGTCACTTGTGTAAGTAACATTATAATGTTATAAAAGCCTTCGTCTGTCTGATTAGTGTGGCCCTGCCCTCCACAAGGTAGAGCTGAACTAGGTTGTCCTGCACCTCACCAGCATATATATTGTTGGAGAATCCCAGGACTTGTCACAAGAACACCTGGTTCCAGTTGTGAGTGAGTCTGTCTGTTTGTCCAACCATCCGTCTGTAACGCTTAATTTGCACTGTGATTGGCTGTCTCAGCAGCCAATCAGAGTGCCCTACACAGACACAGACAGACAGCAGAGCGCTGCCATGACAGTGGGGACTGATGGGGCCAGAGGGGAGGGGAGTGAGGCCAGCAGAGGCCAGGAGTGTTTGGACTGCAGGTGGTAGCAGCACTACGCTGCCATGATAGCAGGGACAGAAGGGGCAGGGTGCCAAGGCCCATGCACCCCTTCTCTTGTCAGGCAATTGGCTAGTAGGATATATGGTTATAGAAAAACTTGTATTTTTCTAAAAATAGCAACAAAGATTTATGGAAATGAACACTATATCATTTGAAAATCAGCATCTTCTCAAAGAGAGGTTTGGTGTGCGAAAGACATAGTATGGCGATTCAGAAACAAAACTGAGTTAAAAATTTCCTGAGTTTTGATCTGGGCTCTGAGATGGTTTTCCTCTATAACCTTGAATTCGCTCCTCTACTTTTCTGAACTCATTCTCTTCAATTCCTCCATTCCTACAATGGAGATGGTCTTCCAAATACCCACACTCATAAATATGCAGTAGTCTGAACACATTTGCACCTCACAATTTAATCCATAAAGATTTATCATCAACTTTGCTTACTGTTTTTCTGTAAGTTTCTAATCCACATTATATCAATATTGAAGCTAGTTTTAATTAATATTTAAATGAGGATATCAGGAAATACTATATCAAATTATTTACTAAAATTAATTTTAATTTCAAATGCCATTCACTATATTTATGTATAATTCTACAATTCCAAATTATAAATCATGTTCAACTGTGATAGCAGTTAGATTTAGTTGTGATAATTAGCAGTACTACCTTTCTAACAATTCTAGTACTAGCCCTCAATTTTTTGCAGTTACCCCCACACACTTACCATATTCACCTGAATCCAAGATGACCCTGAATTTAAGACCACTCAAGAATTAGATTCTATACAGGGAGAATTTATAAATTTGGTATAATTTTCCATGCACAGAATCCAATTATTGGACGGTCATCTTAAATTTGTCGTCCCCGCCCCCCCACTGCTGCAATGGGGAAAGCAGTATTAGGGGGGCAGGCAGGCAGGGGCAAACAACTCAACTCCTGCTCCTTGTCTCCCAACCCTTTATGTTTCCTACTGCCCGACTTACTGTGGGGTTGGGCCCAGGGTCAGAGCTGCAGCCACAGCCTCAACTGCAGCCACAGCAGCTGCCTGCCTGCCCACTGCCTTGTACTTGACTCCAAGATGAGTACCCCCACCATTATATAGAGATTAAAAAAAACCTCTTCTTGGAATCAAGTAAATATGATAACCATTACTGGCATGTTTGCTAATACCCTAAAATAAAATGCAAATCAGGACCAGATCTTTCGCATTTTCCAATACGCACTCTCTCATGGGTTTCCTTGCTATGTAACTGCCTATTGGTGTATTGCCCAGACCATCTTCACCCACCACTCATTTCCACCCTTGAACCTTGTACGGCTCTTCTCACCTTATGCCCTTGTCTTACATTTTAAAGAGTCATAACAAGCTTTGGACCTACTCTTGCTGTAGGATCCCTTATGCTCCTGCAGAACCCCTTTAACTGAAATGAAATTCCATGCACATATGAAGAATGGAAGTGACTGTTAGTTGAAAATCTTTTTTTAGTGAACCTACGTTACTTACCAAGTAACTTATCTTTCTCCTTCAAGTGATTGTCTATATACACATGCTCAATGCTAATGAGTTCAAAGCAGTACCAACATACCTAATAGTGGGTCTAAGGGTCCCAGGTGAAAAGTGCCTTACCAAATGTAGTATCGGCCCAGGAGACTTCAGTGGTACCATGTCTGGTAAAGGTATATATCCCTGGGGAGCTACCACG